TTTAATCCTGTAAATCAAAAATTCTGCTCTATTACAATCAAAGGAAGATTTACTAACATAACAATAATTAGTGTGCATATCCCTACAGAAAATAAGGAAGAGGTGGAAAAAGAACATTTGTATTGTCAGTTGAGTAATATGTACGTAAGTCCAAAACACAACATCAAATTCATTGTGGGTGATTTCAATGCAAAAACAGGTAATGATCATATAATGACCAATGTTGTAGGGTGAGATACACCTCATAGCATTACTAATGGAAATGGATGGAGGCCAGTTGACTTTGCATCAACTAAGAAAATGGTTATAAGCAGTGCACCTTCCTTCTTGTGAAGGAAGGTGTACTTCACATCTAGCAACATGGAGATCCTCAGATGGGGTAACAAACAATCAGATATTTTATGTATTAATTGATAGTAGATACACCAGTAATATCACAGATGTGAAAGCATGTAGAGGTGCTGATTGTGATAGTGACCACCAATTGTGATAGTGGTGTTTGGGTGATTACAACAGTGAATATCATCAGTTGGTAGGTCTAAATGACAAAAAGTTAAAAGAATTTATTTGAAAAATTTAAAAAATGGAATTATAGCAAGGGATTATAGAGTAAGCATAGAAGAGACACTAAAGGAATTACCAGAACATTAGGAAGAGGATAGTGCCAAAAGAATATGGGGCAGTAATAAAAATTTCATAATTGAAGTATCTCAAAATATATTGGGAGTGGGGAAGGAATAAGAGAAACAACTTGATGAAGAATGTAAAATAGCTTTGGATAATAGGAATAAAGCACGGCAAAAACTGCTACAAAGAGCAACACAATTATAAAGGGGGAGGAAAAGAAAAAAAAAAAAAAAAGGCAAAAAAAAAAATTGAAAAAAGTATATGAAGAACAAAAACTTGAGGAATTGCTGGGAAAGTTAAGATACAATGATAGCCGACAATTTTATGAAGGAATAAGAAATATAGAAGAGGGTTTTGGCCTACGGACACGTTTTTATAGAAATAACAACAGAGATCTGGTAGGTGGAGAGAATGATGTGTTAAACACATGGAAAAACTAATTTGAAATACTGCTGAACCCCCAGCAGGAGGAACGAACTCCTGAACTGACAGTGGTTTACTATGGACCTGAGCAATCACAACCACCACCAACATTTCAAGAAATAATGAAAGCAATAAGAAATATGCAGGGAAATTTAGCACCAGGAGAAGACATAATCATGGCAGAACTGATAAAAATTGGAAGCAGACAGCTGTGAAAACACATTTACTATTTATGTCAAAAAATACCAAAGGAATGGAACACTGCAATAATTTGCCCTGTTTACAAAAGTGGTGATAAACTAAATTGTATGAATAATTGTGGAATATCACTTCTTAACACAACATATAAGTTATTTACAACTGTATTATTATGACGGTTGGAACCATATGTGGCCGGAGCCATCAAAATAAATCCAAGAGGTACAAAATTTAATAGAACTGTACAACTTTTAACATATGCAGATGTTATCTTAAACAGAACACAGAAATTCCTTGCAGAAAATGTAGAAGAATTAATAGCAGCTGCTAATGTAATCGGACTTACATTTGACTATATTAAAAGTAAGTATATGATTAATCAGAAAAAGAATGAACCACCCACAAACTTTCAAATAGGTAAAAAAAAATACAAAAGAGTAAAGGTTATCAAATGTTTGGGATCTCTCATTACTTCCACAAAAAATATAGAAATGGAAATAAAAGCACATATTACCTCAGCCAATCCATGTTTCAGAGCACTAAGATATATTAAGAAAGACAAACGTACATAGATACCCTCAGATCCAAGTGTATACTACGATAATAAGACCACTAATTTAGTAATTTAGAACTGGCCAAAATGTACAAAACAACAGATGTTGAATAAATTAAAGTCAGAAGACTACAATGGCTCTGACATTAATACGAACGGAAGAAGAAAGAATCTCCAACATTATCTTCGGTAAAGAACCCAAAGAAAGAAAGGAAGACCCTGTTTAAGATGACTAGATGATGTTGAAATGGATTTGAGATCAATGGCAGTGAGAGGATGGAAAAGAAAGGCAAAAGGGAGAAGTGAATGGGCATTGATCGTTCGAGACACAAAAAAAAAGGGCCGTGGGGCAATAGGAGTCGTTTAATCTGTGGAAAATATCTAAAGAAAAAAATTTGGAGAATTTTTCCAGAAAATATTTTTTCATAAATTAATATCAAGCAAAAATTCATGAGCAAGTAGTGTTGGCTGCTTGATATTAATGCTATAAAAGAAAATTTTCTCAAAAACTGCTCAACAAAATCCCTATCTACAATTTTGTAGTTTTCAAATGTTAACTTCTTGCGATTTTTGAAAATAAATAGCTTGCCAGCATACATAGCAAAAAATTGTAAGCCACATTTAGAGAAAAAAATTAAAAATTGCCTGTATTTCACACTTACAAGAAAACTACTCATATTTTCAAAAAATAGTTTTTGAACTTACTATAAGATCTGTGTTTATGGAATAAATTTCACAAAGGAAAAAATATCTTTCATATTCAACACTTAAATTTTTTTTTTTTAGATTTTATGCTACCCAAGCTTAAAGTTCCCATTTTTATCTTCAAATATTTTATTGTTTCTTACTTGGTCACCTATTCCTGTAATAAATTGTACTCTGATTTCTTAGGGTATGAATTTCGGAAAGGCAAAGTTGAAATATACATGCTAACTGACAACAGCTTAATATGAGAATATAAGATGACCTATATTTTTTGAACAAGATATTTAAGAAAAAACTAGTCTGATATTTAGTTATGAAATTAATATAATAGACTAAATATGTAAGGCATGTATTACAAAATCATAGGAAAATAATTAAAAATTGGCTTACGGGAGTATACTTATACAATCCAAGCATAATTTCTCGCTAAAAAAGTATGGTAGGAAAATATGTGCAATTGCATTGAAATTAGTCACTAGAGACAAATATGATTTGATTTATACAATAATGTGATATATGTTGTGATAAAGTTTCATATATTAATTTTAAGATTCAAGTATGTCAGCTAGTAAGTACCAATGTGAATACGTGAATAATAAAACATGAATAACTTAATCAAAAAAATAAAAACCAATGTGATTCACTTTAATCTTCCAATCCCTAAAACATAATTACTAAGCTCATGTTGTAATGAATAATCAAAAAATAATGCTAATTGAATGTCATTTCTTTAAATATATTTTGACAAAAATCTAGCATTTAATACATATGGTGCTGAAATGAGTAATACGTTCTAATATTTTTTATTAACATATTTCAGTAAATATATGATAACGAATACACTTAAAACAATATTTGGGCTAATAGAATATTCACATTTCAATATGGAACTGAAATGGGGTGATTCAATTATTCAAAACATGAACGTATTTAAGGTTCTCTTCATAAAAAATAAAAAGAGAGCCCTTAGGTGTATCTTAAATCTACACTATGATGTAAAAATTACACCAGCACACACAAAATAATCGACTGTGATAGCACTATATGGCTCAAAAATCATTATTTTCTTTAGAAATAAATCGAACTAACTCTTTATTAGTAGTAGGGTTTTATATAATTGCAATACTCTAGGTTGAGAAAAGTATCACAGGTTGTACACTTTCGTGCCATTAATATAAATGAATGTATATAAATTACAAGAACTAATGGAATAGAAATATATAATATTATTACTATTATTTCTTATATATGAGGGTATTTATACCATGAACGTATGTATTTATCCGACTTATTAATTTGTGTCTGGGGTTTTTTTTTTTTTTTTGTTTGTTTGAAAGATTATTGTGTTAGTGTATTGGCTAATAAATTATAATTATTATCACAATGAGAAGTTATTCTTCCCATTTCTCCAACCTACATATGTAAACCCCAGTTGTGAAATGAAATTACGGGAGAAGAACATAGAACCAATCTCGGAATTCATGACTGCAGAGTCATAAGCAATTTGATCATAGAAAGAAAATGGTGAAAATAATGAGCTTGTAGGTTTCAATTTTCTTTCTTGCATGACATTTAAAACTAATGCTATGTCAACTGCGGATTTTAAACTAGATATCTGATGTGGACATTCAAAAAATGAAGGAAAAAGTTCACCTAGAGGAACAAAGAAGAGTGCTAGCTGATATATGGCAAAGATCTGTAGCATACCACGTAATGCCTTCACAATATGTTTAGAAAATAACAGAAATCACATCTAGTCTGATTACATACACATGGTACCCAATAAAAATGTTAAGTTTCTTTGAAAGAACAGAAATGTACAGTTAAAATTATTTCAGGCTATTACACACAAGGCCTTGTTAAGTAATTTATCATAACTGATAGCAAATCTAATACTCAAGTTTAAATCTTCCAATTCAATTAAAATTATATTGAGCTACAAGATTCCAACTTTGAATCGTCAAACAAACTGCTATGCATACATTTTTGGAGGGAAATTTTTAGGAAATAAATAAAACATACGCTATTTTGTTCATAAGCATGCAATTGAATCTTGTGAATACATAAAAAAGAAAATTGTTGTAGTACTGCAAATAATTACATAACATTGTAACATTACTTCTTTGTTTACTTATATAAAAATCGATAAGTTTTTACTATGAAAAATCTCCAGCACATTTATATTTATAATGAAACTGACACTTCATTTTGAAAATATCATATACCTAAAAGAAATATACACACATCAGACATTTTAATTAATTAAGTTAATGCTCAACAAAAAAATACCTTGCAAACCGAGATACACTAGAGGCTGGCTGCCCACCACACAACAATATAGACAGCCTTCACATTAAACTCAGTCCTTTAACACACACTACTACAGTACAGGTCTTTTCATTAAAAAAAACCTTACAAATCAAAAATTCATCTAGTTTTACTTACTACACAAACCATCAGTCCATGAAAACAAAATAAAGCACCAAATACTCACCTATAGCCATAGGGTAATGTGACAAATGACCAAGATCATACAACAGCCATAATAATTCTTGTTGCAGCAATGCAACTTCCATAGCCTCGCTGGTGGCATTCAAACTTGGATTAATTGCAGAAACCAAAGCTGCAACTTCCATTGGTCTTGTGCAAATTACGGGACAGCCATTGACATACAGCCAAGACTTTGAGACAACACCAGGCCCAATTGGCTGGCCACGCTTATCCTCATTTCCCTTTCCTAAAGTTTATTAAACAAATGCACTCTTGATACTGCGTTCTGACAATTCTCATTTCATTGTTCAAAAAAAATTACATTTCTTACCATGCCAAGTCACTTCAGCCGTTTCCTTACCACCTTCTCCAAAAACAACCCAAGCATGGTCTTCTGACAGGGCTAAATGAACATCACGGAAACCTAATACTTGACATCCAGCAACAACAGCAAATGCTACACCAAAGCAATCTAATTTGTTTCCTACAACATAATTCACAATCAAATAACATTTAAAACAAAATACAAATGCATCTGAAGCAAGTACTGCCATTAATGTAAAGGTTTCTCACCTGTCAAATAACTATACAGGGACTGCAGGTGCGCCCTGTCTTTGTAATAACTCCGGGTTAATGAATTCCATATTACATCAGATACCTTCTTTATCAATTCTCGAGAAGCAAATTTTTTACTACCATACTGAGACAAATCAACAGCACCTTTAATAATTGCATGAAATTTAGTGTACAGAGCTTCTGTAATGTGATATTCTATAGCGGGCAGTTTGGCTTCACCGAAGGTGTCCGTTTCCTTCTGAACCGTAATAGTACGGTTACATGTCAATGAATTCTCAATAGCGCCAACCACAATTGATAAGAGAGCCAAATCGGGCTCCGACACACTTTCCAATTGCTGCTTAAACAATCGCACAATTGCAGGAATATCCTGCAGCGGGAATTGCCGTCTATCAACCTCTCGAAACCCCGCCATGTCGCAGTTAAGCGACATTGTTGACTAGCGCTATGTCGGCCATTATTGGTTAGACCGTTAACGAGATTACGCTCACAAATACATTAATCAAGTTTTCATTGTGGAAATGTTACCATAAGACACTCTAATATTATTATTAATGACGCCTCAGACTTCACAGATTATTTTGAACTAACCGCTGTACTAATTTTAGAGCGAGTGCACTGAAGCGAATTTGGGTCCGAGAGTCAGGCTTAAACATGGCGGATCGTACAGGAGACGTAACATCACTTCGCGGTGGAGATACAGACCAAATGACGGAATCAAATGGAGAAATCTCTCTTGTTAACACAGGATCCGGCGATCCTAATGTTAGTAAGAATATTGCGTGAAATTCAACCTGGTAGTTTTTTCTGGGCCCCATAGTTAACCATGTTCCTTTTCTCCGTGTCGGGAGTGTTCCAAAGTCCCCTGTAATACTCATTGAAGTATTTAGTTATTGTGGCTGTGAATAAAACTGTCAATTTTTTGTTCAACTGTTTTATAAGTGTTCGTAATAGGTTGTGTTTTGTTACACCTATTCAGTGATATTTTCTTTGTGTTTAGCCGCCAAATCAAATTGATCAGCAAAGGCAGCAATATCAGCCAACTAAATTGGAATCTTTCTTTGCCATCACGAAAACGCTATTGATACGTGCTCTTGTAATATATTTTATCACGTCATTTTTCCGACGGCCGTCAACAAGTCCAGAGACGTCCACCGCTGCAAATTTTGCGAGCAAATCGCCAGCATTTAACATATTTGAAAATGGAACTGTTATGGTAATTATCGGTTATTGAGATTTGTGATTTATTTTTGTGTATGTGAAACAAAACAGTGTTTGTTGTTTTTGTAGGATTTGTATGTGTATGTATCAGAATTACCGAAATTCAGAGACTTCAATAATCCTGATGCATTAATTTGGACTCAAAAAGGACTTGTATATGGTGATTGGACGGGAGGTCCAAATGGAGATGGTACAATTGTGCATAATACTCAAATTAAAACATCTGAGGTATTTTGGGTTTATCAGTTGAAAGATATGTACAAATTATGTTGCATACATGCTTTCCTGGGCACATTAAAATGATTTTGTGCTCATGATTTTATAGGCTCTGCAGAATAATGGTTCCTTGTACTTGCATGTATATATTACACGTCAAGGGAGGTCACCAAATCCTGAGGCAGGGAAAGGTCATTACATAGCTAGTCAGGTAGCGTACAATAAAAGGATGCTGAATAAATTCAAGAAATTGAAATACACAACCACTCATAATCTTCTTACTGGTGAAACTGCTGCCACACCAGAAGTTATAGAGGTATTTTGTGCATTTTAAATATACAAATTATGAGTGGCAAAGGTCCATTGTTATGTGATTTTATATTTATTAAATAAATTTTTCAGAAAGCGAAAACAATGAAGGAAGAGATTGTGTCTCATTGGCATCCAAATTTAACAATTAATTTAGTAACAGACCAAACAAATTGGGTGCAAGGAGCAGTGCCACCTCCTTTGGATGAGTGTAAGTGCTGTTCAATAATTTCAAAAACTACTTGTGTGTGTGTTTTCAAAATTATACTTAACATTTTGTATTTTAACAGTTATAGAATTTCTTCCTGGAGGAGATCGTTATAAACCTGTTATATTTTTAAATGACTTTTGGAACATGTTGAGAGATTATCAACCTATAAATAAAACAACAAAGTGAGTTGATATTGCAATTGTTAAAATGATCCAAGTTTAAATTGGAATATCTCCTTCTGTAAGTTTTTTTCCTAATTCAAATTTATGATAATTTGTAGGAGTTTGCAGCTTAGTCTTACTTTCCAGCCACTTTCTCTTTTTAAGTGGCAGATATATTCTGCCCAAGCTATGAGAAATAAGTGGACTGCTAGTGTTCTGGGTGACAATTTTGCCGAAGAAGATGAAGAAGATGCAGATTATTTGAAAGAGGCATTGCTTGAAACATCTCCATATCTTTTGGGTCTTACTATATTTGTGTCCATTCTGCATAGTGTGTTTGAACTTCTTGCATTTAAAAATGGTATGTATGACACAAAATTTGTGTACTCATTTAAAACCTTTCTTTTCATGGAATGTGTGTGGGGTGTGATTTATTGTAGGAATTCAGAGAAGTTAAATTTCTTGAAAAATATTGACCTTAACTTCTTAATTGGACCTTAAATTTGTTGTTAAAATGCAAAATTAGGGAGGGTAGGATGAGAGTATAGAAAATGCTCGAAGTCGAATTTTGGCCAATTATTTGTAATATTATACCCGCATATTTTATTGATCCTTGGTATACCTGCCCCCGCCCGCTCCTGTAATGGCGTAAAGTTATATTAAGAATAAATGTTAGCAATGAGCATGTTTACAAAATTAATAATTAATTGTCGAGTCGTTGAAATAAACCTCTCCCAATCCTCTCGCATCTAGTGAAGTGAGGGCTCAAGAAATGGAAACAGATAATAGATATGATATTCTTCACGGATAAACCAGTTGTGAGGGTTTTTACTACTATTTTTCTTTTTACAGATATCCAGTTTTGGAATAATAGGAAATCTTTGGAGGGTTTATCTGTACGCTCTGTGTTTTTCAACGTATTTCAGTCATTAATTGTGTTGCTGTATGTTTTGGATAATGATACAAATACTATAGTACGGATAAGCTGCTTTGTTGGGCTTTGCATCGAAATATGGAAAATTCATAAAGTAAGCGGGTAGAAACATTTTTGTATCCATCATTGTACAATGGAAGTTTCTGTTGCAATAGGTTATTAATAATGATTGTTAATGATTGATAGGTCATGGATATAAATGTGAACAGAGAAGCAAGAATATTTGGATTTATTCCTCGTATTAATTTTACGGATAAAGGATCGTACATCGAGTCCAGTACTAAGCAATATGATATGATGGCTTTCCGATATTTGTCTTGGGCTCTGTACCCTCTCTTAGGTGGTTATGCAGTGTATTCTCTCTTATACCAAGAACATAGAGGCTGGTACTCATTTGTTCTTAACATGTTATACGGTTTTCTTTTGACTTTTGGTGAGTAACTGCTAAAAAACAAATACAGGGTATTTAATGCTATCAGAAAGTTATGAAAATTTGTCTTTTCAGGATTTATCATGATGACTCCTCAGTTATTCATTAATTATAAACTTAAATCGGTGGCCCATCTTCCATGGCGAATGCTTACATACAAGTTCCTGAACACTTTTATCGATGATATCTTTGCATTTGTTATTAAAATGCCAACGTTGTATAGGTTGGGGTGCTTCCGTGATGGTAAGGAATACATATTTACTTTTTACTATTTAAAAAGTAGTTAACTATTTTTTAAGCACTGAATCCTTGATCATCTTTTTTTACAGATATTGTGTTCTTCATTTTCTTATATCAACGCTGGATATACAAGACAGATCCCACTCGAGTTAATGAATTTGGGTTTTCTGCTGAAATGGAGGCAGAAGCAGCTGCAAATCGCAGTACTGCAAATGGATCTGTTCCCACACCTGCATTGCAAGATGCAAGTGCTGAAAATACCAAAGATCCTGAAGAAAAGAAGCGTGATTAATGTAAGTTGCGTGATACTAGTAATAAAGGTACTTTTTCTACTGAGCTCTGTGGTGGTCTTCTGCATTGTTGCTCAGAGAATCTTGTAATAGCTTTGAGGAAAGCTGTTGTTTTATCATGTTTCCCACTGAAGCTTTTAGTCACTAGTTTGTGTGGGGATAATGTAACTTTCATTAGATTTCTATCTTCTCAAGTGCTTATTGAATGAATATTGTTTACATTTTGTTATAAAGCACATATTGGATGCGTTTTAATAAAGCGTTATCAGATCTTGCCTACAAGATGGGGTGAAATTATTAATTTCAGAAATCTTCTCTTGACAAGAAGAACATTTCTGGGTGATCATCTACTGTTCTCCTTTTTCCTCTTTACAGTAAAGCCCCCTCTTTTACGCTTTTCAAGGGTAAATGATGAGAAATTACTTTTTCATATATAAAAATATAAAGAACATTTTTCACATCCGAATACACAATTTTGCATTGCAGAATTTTTGCACATCAAAATACAGTGATTCCAGTCCACCCTCCTCCACCCCCCAACCCCCGAATATAAAGACTGTTATTGAAACCTTTATATAATCAAATGAACTTTTGATTTTTTTAAAACTGTACACCAAAAGTGAATGCATTTTTGTATCTTATAAGGATATTAAAATACTAGTGACTACTAGGTAAACATGCTTGTGTGAGACGCTCTGCATTATTAGTAACCAGGATAATAGGGATATTGGAAGCCAAGTGCACATTTATATAGACTGCCAGTAATGCATTGGGAATACGCAAAACCTTACTAAAGTGTTTATAACACACAAACAATAATTTACTTCTTGTTTCAAAAATAGAATTTAAAGCGATAACACGTAGCTCAGAACAGTATGGAGTAATTCTGATTTTCCCGCAGTATTTGTAGGATTCGATGGGAACAAACGAAGAAGATTGTTAACTGTCGTATTCTTTTTTGCGTTTACACTGACAAGGGAAAAGTGTAAAAGATGGGAACAATTTTACATTGTGAATATAGGGAAATTGAAGAGCCCAGTAAATATTGGCATAAGTGGAGGGGAAACATAAAAGTAGAACTTCACTGTGTGTAAGAGAACATTTTTTTTCTCCTTAGTTGTGTATTAGGTGGTAAAATTATTCATAAGTGTATGTTATACAGGGTTTTTCAGAAATACCTAATTTCCATGATGTTATTCATGTAAATCAAAAGGTAGTACCAAAATCTGTTTTCCCGTTCATTATTTACACTTTGAGCAATCGTGCTCTGATACTTTTTACTAGACATGGATAGAATATTGTGTAGATGAATATGAACATGCAGATAACATTTCAAGGAAATTTCCATTCTCTGCACTATTGCAGCCACTCTATTTTAGGAGTCCATAGCCTAAAATAAAGAATTTATCGACTCCACCTGGTTCCTACAAGCTGTACTAGCAAGAATGCTGACCTTTGGTAGCACAAAAATGCTTGTACATAAAACCTTTGCACCGAAGAGGCAATTTTGAAAACTGTCGGAAGACAGCCAAGAATCAGCATAAGATCTATTCAACATAATGTGATTTGGCTTGAACTGCGAGAGAAAGTTCTCTCTCCATACCCTTTGCATCATATAGAAGTGATGTATGACAAAGACTCTTATCTAGCAGATGTGCAGATATGAACTTTCTCTCCACAATTTTATTTAAAAATGTGTGTTCTGTTACTAATGATGTTCACATGTTCGATTGTTACCATGTGTTCCTTTACCTACCTTTATCTTTGCACAATGCACATTATTGGGTAGATGCAAGTCCACTGTGAACAGGAAGTCATGTATGCTTTTCTGTAAATCCTTGGATAAGGGTTATGGGACATTTTACTTTTGGTCCTGCTAATTTGCCTGATATACTGAACAGTGCTGCATACTTGAATATTCTCAGAAATGAATTACCATGTCTTTTGGAAGATGCTTTGTTGTAAACAACTTGCAGCATGTATTTAATTAACAATAAGGCATCTGCGCACTGTTGTACACAAGTTCTCATGTATCTAAATTGAAAAATCCCCGAAGAGACGTAGACAGAGGAGAGATCCAGAGGAAGCTTGCCACTACACTCTCCAGATTTGAATTCTGTGGATTTCTTTTTATGGGGTTATTGTAAATCAAAAATATATTGTAGTGGAAAGCAAAGAAATTTTAACATTGAGAATGCAGTAAAGTATTGAAGGTACCAGAAATTCAGCGAATGTGTTAGTAGTAGCAGCAGCAGCAGCAGTGCAGGTGTCTGTTTTGCATTGAACAGGAATTTATTCAAGCATTCTGGATGTCCATTTTAAACATTTAGTATAAAAATGCATACAAAATATTAGCAATTTTTGTTTGAATATTTTTAGCATGTTAAATGTTTATTTTCATTTTAAAAGTTTGAAAAACTTTTTCAATTTCATTTTCAAATAAATATTATTTTGCTGCCCAGGATTTTGTTTGTTTTTCTTTTAAAATTCCTCTTAGCTTTAGATGTACTAATTGTCTGAGCTTCATGAAATTGTCATAAAATATGCAATGCATTTTCAGGTGCAATATCAAGAGATAACAAACCGTCACACACAGCAGCGGCAGCTGACCTCTTGGCTCACTGCATCCTTACATCTGGAGCACAGATTACATTACGTCTCAACATTTGTACTGCTAGGGAGAGGAGTGTCACAAATATGTTGTTCAAATTCACAAATTCAGAGCCAAATCTGTTTTGTGAAAGTTATGCTTACGTTTTGATATTAGTGATATCCAACGTTGAGACGATATGAATATATGATAAATAACAGTCTTGTATTTGTGCTTTGGTTGTTTTCCATGTGAAGAGCACATTTTTATATCTTTGAAACCGTGCTTCTTTTTTAAAATCTGCCAAAGGAGATATATACTTATACTTAAGTGTAGATATCGTTTGTGGAAAAGGAAATTAGGTATTTCTGAAAACCCTCTGTATTACCGGTTTGAGAGCCTTGAATATGTTGTAACAAAATTGTTAAAGGTTAAGGTTAGTGAGAAGCATGGAAACTTCCAGTGCGTTCTGTTGTCTTCACACTATCGACATTTCAGCATTTTTACTCTATTTGTCAATCCTCGTACTGTGTATTGTGTAAGGCTGTTGGACGTTTGTGAATTTAATGGCCTAATATTATGACATCTCACATACCCTACCCTGCTCTTTCATATGAATCTTTCAATCCAACAAGTATGATGCAAGTACTACTCTGCTATGTTGAACAGCATGAAAAATATTTAGTGATTTAACAAAAGTGAACTTCAGTCTTCATTGTCTGTTCTTTTACAAGAAATAGAAATATTGAATTCACGAAGAGAAATTTAAGATTAACTGTTGCATTTCAATACCATTCCGGTACTCGAACACCAGGGCAGAAGAGTCAATCGCAGACTCCAGAATACTATTGCAGAATAATTGAAGAAGAAATGTATGTTAAAAACTATTGCCACATGTATTTAGCAATATATTAGGTGCATTTTTGCAAGTTAGTGTTTAAATATTTTGAGTTTTTGAGATGTCGTAAAGACTTCAAGAAAGGATCTGTTAATAAAATCCTAAACAATGAAAAAGTAACTTCTTTCTTAAACAAAGATAAAGAAAAACACTATGATGGGATCCACTGTTGATACCTCACACCCTGTTGGTATGCATCTATTAATAACAGAAAACAAATGTTACTGAAATATATTTTAGTTTTTTTTTTCTCTCTCACTTCAATTCTTTCTGAATAACTGAAAAATTACTCGGTGTATGAATTTATGAATGTTATTAAGACACAATTAACTTTTTTTTAAATAGAAACTGCCTGCAATTTCCTATTAATAGTGTTATCAAAACACTTTTTGCCAATACGGGGGGAGGGGAATAATGCATGGATACAAGTACATACAATCTGTGTACAAGACTGAAAAGTAAGGGAAGAAATAAAAATTGTTGTGTTTGAAAAATCTGTGAAACAAATGATTGTTTCAATGATTTATTATTAATAGAGAGCAAAGTAGTATTTTATTTCATAAAAATGTGATATTTTTTTAAGCAATACAATAATTTTACCTCATTTTTCAAAAATGCTTTCCCAGCTATTGGATATTCCAGATGTACAGAAGATGACCATGATATGAATATTGCATCGTTACTGCACTTGCTCATGAATTCTTGCAAATTTCATTCATTTTTTGTCAGCTGGAGGCAGAAGTGTCAACCGACTTGAATGTAACAAAGCCAGACAGTAATACTCACAAAATGCACAGAAAAGCACTGGATTGATGCACATGCATAAGGTTTGGATATCAAAACTTTCAGACTATTAGTGATGTCTTGATCGCAAGCAAGTTGTTAAAGATCCATTTTATTAATTTACACTGTACTACACTTACTTACTCTTCATTACAAATACTGGGCCAAACTTCATTAGAACTTCCTAAAATCTTAATGTTTTTCTTTACACCCCTTGTTTTTGTCATATTTGTCACACACACAAACACAAAGAACAAGAGGAAGTGCATGTGGCAGTTAGAATCAATGGTGAACACCAAATGAAATAGTTGGCAGAAAGGCACATACATTTATGTAAAGTGACACATTCAGGCATCAAGTGCAGTAACTGCTCAACACCCCATGATATTACTGTGTGAATTAAATGGAAATATTCCAAAGAAATGTATTAGATGTGTGCTGTATAACAGAATATTCAATAAATAAAAAAATTCTTAAATAAAAAGTTTAGTATTTTTTCGCATTGATAAAAGTATAAAACAAAAATGCATTCTGAGAATATGGGGAAAAAATGATCTCCTTATATTGATTTTGAAAGAAAAATATTCATGTGAAGGTTAAAATTGTGCTAGTTTTATAATTATTAATAATAATTTATTTGCTCATATTAACACGATATTGATGAAATTGCACATCTTTTCCACATGTTCCTATATTATTTTTTCAAGAGTACAAATGTTCCTTTTCTAAAACAGCACATTCTTGTCATGAATTCTTATCCTGAGCCATGACAATGCATTAGAGAGAAATCAGTTTCAAAAGTCAAAATACATGTGGGAATTTCAGAATACTTCAGTTAAACACTGTGAGTAATAATTAAATAGGCATGTGTTGTACTACAGAACGTGCTGGAAAATAAATGAGCTAATTCTTGTTAGAAATGTTTTTTGCAACTCATTATGCTCGACAAGACCATCTAGTCTGTACCAGTTGTTGGTTGGTTTTTGTTTTTGTTTTTTTGTAATGCATTCCTCATTTTGTTTTTTCATTGTACTTAATATTTGTTATAAATTATTTCTGCGAATTCTTTATGGATCTGCTTGTAGCAATTGTGCAGTAGATTAAAAGTATTTAAACAACTCCTTACCAAATGAGGAGGTCACTAAAATTTATGATTAGAAACAATGAGGAAAGCAAATAGAAGATTACTTATCATGATTAATGTCCTAAGTCATAAATCAGTTCATACTTTTAAGCATGTGGTCTTTCATTTATATTAAATGAGAGGCAAATTTTTATGCTTCTACCTGTAATGTAGATTAAAAATTTGAACACTGCAAGATATTTTGTAGTAATTGTGTTAATCCTTGCATTCTAGGAACAGATTCAGAGATCTAAGATCAGAGCTAAGTTATTTAACATTGTAGAGAAACAATTCTTTCAGTTGCAGATTATGTCTTCAACAGTTATTGTTATGTGGGTAACTTCCATCGGTGATTAATTACTTGCAGAATAAATGTTCCAAATTCAATTTGAAGTATAATTGGTGACATGTTGACATAAATAAACATTATTGTGAATCTTGAAACAATGATACAGGAACAGTGCAATTTATTTAAACTAGTACTTAAATCTAATCATTACTAGATTTAAGAAAATTGTAAGGTGCACGTGATTCAAGAAATTTATAATACAGGTTCATACACTATGTGATCGAAAGTATCCGGACACATGGCTGAAAATGACTTATCAGTATGTGGCGCCCGCCATCGGTAATGCTGGAATTCAATAGCATGTTGGCCCACCTTTAGCATTGATGACAGCAATCCACTCTCACAGGCAGACTTTCAATCAGGTACTGGAAGGTTTCTTGGAGAACGGCAGCCCATTCTCCACAGTGCTGCACTGAGGAGAGGTATCGATGTAGGTAGGTGAGGCCTGCCGCAATGTCAAGTGTTCCAAAACATCCCAAGGGTGTTTGATAGGATTCACGTCAAGACTGTGCAGGCCAGTCCATTACAGGGATGTTATTGTTGTGTAACCATTTCGTCACTGGCCATGCAATATGAATAGGTGCTTCATTGTGTTGAAAGATGCAATTGCCATCCCCGAATTGATCTTCAACAGTGGGAATTAAGGTGTTTAAAACAACAATGTAGGCCTGTACCGTAATAGTGCCACACAAAACCAGGGATGCAAGCTCCCTCCTTGAAAAACACGACCACACATTAACACCATTTTGGATGTGTCTGGATACTTTTGGACACTCAGTGTATATACAGAAAGGACCTTTCAGAGATGAGTAATCTTACATTGCTTTGAAATATTCACAGAAATAATTGAGAACAATTCTAATTTCCTGTGTTTATTTGATGTAAATAACATTGTCATATTTCGAATTATTTATTTCGAGTCCCTCTCAACGTCATTCTGATGAGTATCAACACCACTTTTAGATTTCTTCATTACACATGAAAAATGCTTTGTGGTATATTGAGAAGTTTGTATATGGCCAATACATGCAAAAGAGTCCTTGTCACCCAAGTGCCAAGTCAGACCATTCACATTATTTTGTATTATTCTTTTTAAGTGGATTAGTTCATTTTTATATGCATTTATTCAAGACATCATTCAGCAATTCATTTCTTTTATCTTAATTCCTACATATTTGTTGCATTCCAGTTTAATGTACGAGAAGAAAATAAATTCAACTAAAAATTCCTTTTCGAACTTCGGGTTTCTAAATTTTGATATTGTGCAATAGAATCAATAATTATAAAAGGTAATTTTGCATTTGTATTTTTAAATAAGTCATAATGGTGCAGTAGCAAATGTAAGTATCATATAAGTGTGTGTTCACAGTAATTAGTGTTTTCTGTAATATTAGATAATACCGTTTGCAATCATTGCATTGATCAAATCTGAAACCTTAGATTGCTTAGAATATGGTTCGCCAATACTGTTTTATCTTTGTAACATCCCATCAATACTAATTTGGGGTGTTATATTTTAACAGTGCATTTTTGTGCTGATTCTAAGACCTAGTTTCATATTGCCTATAATTCTGAAACTTTAAAAGTATTGTATGGTGTTTGAACATGGCAGTGCCATGGTTGTATATATGTTAGATCAGATGTAAATAAGAAAAAAAGTTAAAATCTATTACATGAACATCAATAGTTCATGTGTGTGTTCATTAGTATACTGCTTTCTATTAACAGCTTGATAATGGTGGTCGTTTAAGATGTAAGTACACAATATATTCTTGAAAGCACAAAGAAGTTTGAAATTATTGAAGAGGTATTAAAAGAAATCAGTGATTACTGTGATTCTATTTATAAAAATCGGTGTTGACTACTATTAAAGAAAGTTTTTTAATTTCTTATAAGTTATATTGCATGATTTATGCACTTATGTGTTACAAGTTAGTGTCAGTATAAGAATTTGTAAGAATAATTAAATTTCCTTGTAAATGTTTGTGGAATCTGTGATATGAAATATGTTGTTGAGTTTTTGAAGTATTAGCACAATAGAAACCCTGCTGTTCCCCACACACACTGGTGTCTCTAAAAGAAATATTAAATGCTTATCTTGAGATATTTATGATAATTTCTACCTTCATCCTGAAAATATTTGTTTCGGAAGGCTTAATTTGCCATCCAACAAAACTATTGATTATGGAGACCAAAGGACTGTAAAGATGATTTTTGTGTATATGTTGGGAAATGAAGTTTCATTTGAAATATATATACCAAAATTCTTCACTTCTGAATATATCATTAATAACAAATCCTGTGATGAGAAAATATTCAAAATGCATATGCAGGTAGACACACATGAAATGTTAAATGTTTGTTAAAAAATAAAATTCAGTATAAATCCATTGAAGTGCTGCTTTCTCTTTCCACATACATGTCAGTGTTCGACCTGATCATTTTATGTATTTCTTGAGAATAAGTAATGTTTCACTGTTAGTGACAATTTAGGAATGTCTATAAGTCTTTAATAGTAAGTAATGGTTTTGGGTAGAGACAAGGGTAGACTCTCCTAGGCAAAGTAGGCGACTACATATGGGCCAACCCCAGAGGAGGCCCTCCAGATAATACTAATAAAATACAACAGCAGCCCCCCCCCCCCCAATAATTTTTTTTAGTTCATTGATGTAGAAAAGCTATTTTTTACCATTTTACACGGCTATTTATCTGTAATTAAAATTAAAGTAATTAGGCTTCTGGAATAATGATGAATAAGGGGAAATAATATAAGTACGAGCATAACAGAACCATAAGTATACCTGTTGGCGTTCGTCACGTGCGCCAACGCTTCCATGGATCGACGGAAAATCAATTCGATCTCGGCGCTGCAATATCTCCTAGATTGTGCAACCACCGTTTCTCCACTACTTTTTTTCTAAATTGTTGCATCTTTTCGCAACTACGTCTCTTATCCATCTTTTGGTTTTGAGCGCGTATGTTAAAATGTATCTCTCGTAAAGTCGCAGTCGGTCATTGCCTTGTTTATCTGTGTGCTATGGGGAGAAGTTAATTTGAAGATACATTTATGTCCAGAAGCAAAACAAGGGGCCATCTCAGCATTTGCTCAAGGACAAGGGAAACTGGACGATAACCTGATCGAGATGGGGGTCATTGACTCAGAAGCTGAAGTACAATACTTGTTACAGGTTCTTTAGAATTATACAATCCAAATAGTAAATAATACATTAAATGTCATTGTTATAATTAATGTTACTTGCCTTTTCGATGCTTTGTATAGTCTAATTGTATAGAAACAATTGTGCAGAAGATAATATTTTACTTGGGACTTAAACGTTTGCATCGAATTTAATCGTTTGATGTTATCTAGCAAGGAGGTGTAAAATAATGTACATGTATGTGAACCGAGATTAATACCATTCTTAGGGAACTATGTTATTGGAAGAACCTAGATAGGGAAGTGCAAAGAGTAATCAAATCGAGCGAGACGTGCATGGAAACGAAGTTTCCAAATCGGACTTATGTGGGGGCGATGGCACCTATTGTTCCCAAGGGAAAAATGACGACATTGCCGTAGACCTGTATGGCCTGTTTCCGAAGTCTAGGCGAGGGAAAATATACATCATGGTTGTTATCGATTTGTTTTCTAAACTCTCCCAGGTTTACCCCATGAAAAAGAAGAACGCCAGTGTTTGAAACAATTAGTTAAGTATATGGGAGTAGCCGGAACGTATTGCAAGATGTTAAGCGATCACGTACCAGTTTACAAGTGAAGAGAGGAGACGATCATTGACTGAGAAAGACATATCCCCGCAATCAAAACCCAAATTTTGACGTGTTCGGTTGATTTATATATAATAGTTGTAATACAGCCTGGGATTTACACTATCATAAGGGGGGGGATTGCCGTCACAGTTAAGGTGCGACCGTCACTTTCCGACAGCAGGGTGCACGCGCTGAATTTATTTAAAGGGCGCCAAGTGCATGTCTTACCTGCTATCAGGTCACCGGCATTTAGTATCTCAGGGGTGAGCACCCTGGTTCGAAGG